AAAAAAAAGTTTTACAGTTTACATTAAGAGGAATCATCCTTATTACATATTAACACTGAAATATAAAGAGCTAAATATATATTTATAGCGTGACGCGGCTGGATTTTTAAAAATCACACTTTAAAGGCCCTAAAAATACCATTTAAAAAAGTAGTTTTGCCCGGAAGAGTCAAATGTGGTGGCCCGGAAGGGGAAATAGTGGTGGCTCATGGCTGCCGGAAGAGAAAAAAGCTAATATGTGGCCCGGAAGGGGAAATAGTGGTGGCTCATGGCCGCCTGCCTTCCCCCGCTCATATGACAAAGGTTTCAAGGGTACCGTTGTAAATCGGGCATTGCTATCTTTGCTTGGAGAGCCACCGGAAATTCCGCTTACAGTCCCTTTAAACATGTGAATTTACTAGAATTCTTTTTATAAAAATTAGAAAAATACTTTTTAATTGATGCAGTCATGTCACAAATAGCACCTCGAAGCTCCATTATTATCTGAAAAAAGTGTTATTTTTAAAGTGTCACAAACAATCGGATATTGTACATTTTATTGTCAGTCTATTCTAATCATCTTGGTATTTAGTCTGATTCTCCTCTTCCTCCTTATTGCTTGGTTCTCCCCCCCCCCCCCAACCACAAAGTGTACACCTTTAATTTTTTTTTTAATTAAGTAGCTCAAATCTCAGCAAAAAATCGATCTCTTACTACGATTGAAATTCAATTTTGAAATTTAAAATTTTAAAAATATTTTTTTGACAAAATACATATGCTTAGCATTTCAAGATTTCTATCTTAATAAGTGCTTAGTAATTGTATGAAAAAATATTTTATACTAACCATCAATGGTTTTCTTTATATTACTGTATTTTAGTCTTACAACATTAAATGAATTTCACAAATTTTTACAATAACTAAATAATTGCATATGTAATGTATATCACAAATAACAACATGGATAAATACTCAGATTACGACTGTCATAATAGGGAGAGATATTTAAAAATTTCCTACACATATTTAATTTTGAAGAATTAAATGTAATATTATATTCAATAGATGGAAGAAATTTTATTAAACATTTTTAGAATAATTAAATATCTATTAATGAGTCTTAGGATTATTTTAGTAACAAAAGTCGTGTGTACAAATTAAATAAGAAAATAATAATAAAATGTTACATTTCAAGTTGACTTAAATATCAGTTTCTATCTTAATAACAACTTCTTTTTCATGTTTCTTCATGTGTTTTTTCAAATTCCTTGGATTAGCAAAGGCTGTGTTGCAGATTGCACAGACTATCCCAGTGTGGCAGGTCATGTGGGACGCTAATCTATCCGCGTTCGACAGAGATTTACCACATAGTTTACAGTGGAATCCTCTTGCAGAATGGGTTTTCATGTGTCTCTCCAAATTTTCATTAATTAAATAGGAGGCTTCACATATTGTACACGAGAATCGCTTAAGTGATTCTTTAGGAGTATGTTTGCTAATCATGTGTCTCTTCAAAGTATCCTGACGATTAAACTTACTGTTACAGATAGTACATGAATGGTTTCCAGTTTCTTTATGTGTTCTTAAATGTCTGTTTCTACTCTGTGAATGTTTAAAGCTTTGCTCGCACAACGAGCACTTGTAGGGTTTAAAGTCTTTGTGAGTCGTCCAGTGTTCTCTCAAATCTTCTTTGGAAGTGAGGACTTCTTCACACTCACCACAGGGGTGTATCTTAGTATCTTCCGGTTTAGTTTGTTTCGCAGCTTGTTCATCTTTATCTTTTAGTTCAATATTCGGACCGTGAAGCCTCTTCATGTGTCGTTTCAAGGAACATGACTGATCACCAATATCCTCTTCAACTATAGAAATGGTTTCCATAGAGTCTTCTTCGGAAACAATATTTCCAAGATCAGTTTCCATTTTAATTTCATTCTCCGCGTCCATGTTTTTAACCATTTTGTTCACATCTTTACATTTGAGGTCCGTTACAGTTCTTAAAACAGGTTTAACATCAGATTCCATAAGATCACTGTCATCCAAATCATCCTCAGAATTATCCTCCATACCATCCTCCAAATTATCCTCCAAATCATCCTCCGAACCATCCACCAAACTACCCTCCGAACAAGCCTTTACATCCAAACCCTCCACCAAACTACCCTCCAAATTATCCACCAAACTACCCTCCACACAAGCCTCCACATTCAAACCCTCCTCCTCATGACGCTTCATGTGTCTCTGCCAATTTCTAATTGTTTCAAACTTTTTGTTACAAACCCCACACACCATACCAGTATGCGTTGTCATGTGTGACACAAACCTACTGTAGGTTTTCACAGATTTCCCGCAAATGTCACAAGGAAACCGATCTTCTTTGTGGGTCTCCATGTGTCTGTCTAGAGTGTCAGACCGTGGGAATGCGCTGTTGCAGACTGTGCATTGGTATTTGTCTGGGTTTGTGTGGGTTTTCATGTGCCTGTTTCTACTTTGAGTATGTTTAAACACCTGCGGGCAAAAAGAACAGGTGTAAGATTTTTCAGTTTTCTCCATGGTTTCATCTGACACATGATTATGGGTTCTCTCAATGTGTCTTTTTAAATTAGAAATTGAAGAGAAGACTTTGTCACATAATTCACACGTGTCTTTGTATTCGTCATGAGTTTTCATGTGTTTCATTAGCCTCTTAAATGAGGTCGATCCTTCTTCACAGATTTCACAATAGAACATTTGTATTTCTTCCTTAGGCGCATGAACTGCCATATGCCGTGAAAGCGCATCTGCCCGCGCAAATTCTTTTTCACAGATCGGGCATGTTGTTTTTGTATGTTCGGTGTGAGTTTTCACGTGTCTATTTCTACTCTGACTATGGGAAAAACCTTTTCCGCAAACAGGACAAGAATATGTTTTTTCACCATTATTATCAGATGTTTCTGTGTCCACCACTCTCTCATCGGTCTCAATGTGCTCCTCCATTTTGTTTCAGTTAGTATACTAGGTACTTACAAAAACAACATCAATTCTTCTTCCTTCTAGGCAAGCGTAGATCTGAAAATACAAATTTAGTTCTGTAACAATAGGGGAGATTTCTATTTATAGCTTTTAAACCTCAACCTTTTAATCTATGTAAGATCTAAATTTATTAATTTATGTGATTTAGTTTAATTATGTCTAATGTCTATAGCTACTGCTGATTGATCATCTTAACTTAAATAGTACTTATATATTAGTTGTTTAAACAGTTCATTAACTTATTTTCTCAAATCATAAGCTTGCAATTACAGTGCTAAGGATCCGGATCCGTTAGATCCGCAAGATTTTGGCTTCCTGGATCCGGATCCGGATCCGCAAAAATATGTGGATCCACAGATCCGGATCCAAAGGGGAAAATATCAACCAAAAACTACAAAAAAAAACTTTTTATTCCTAAAACCCAACTCTGAACTTTTGAAAAAAAAGAGTTTGTAAAAATTCCCTCATTTCTGAATGGTTCATCAAGTTTTAGGATAAAAATAAGCGAAAAAAATTAAACAAAAAATTTGAAAATTATTTTTTGTTAAAAAATTCAGTAAATCTTAAAGAAATGACCTGGATTTGGATCCGGGTCCGCATCAAAATTAAATGGATCCTAAGCACTGCAGTTGCAAATATTATTGTTCATATTTTCTCGACATTACAAACTTAAAGCAAATTGGTAAAATTTATAATCTTGAGACGGAAACAAATATAAATATCTAATTCTCAGATAATATTGATAATATAATTGTCGTCGTGACTTTACATGATCATCTCTTAAAAGAGTTCTCTCCCCAATTCACAACTTTCACTTAAAAAACAAATCAATGCTGAGGGGTATATTTCCACATCCCCCCCCCCTCAACTTAGAGGGACGGGCAAATGCATCGAATAACATCCAAGAGGAGAAGTATTCAAACAAAGGTTTCAAGAGCAGCTTTTTTAATCGGGCATGCGAGAAGAAGTTGAACTATTCTTTTGGCTCAGTAACATCTCGCCATATAAGAACTCGCTTAAGTAACATTTCGCCATGTATTACAACTTGTCATATATCATTTCGAGATAAAACAACAACTCGCCATATAAAAACATAAAAACAAAATAATAAATTTTATTTTGTAGAAAGTAGTAGTTTATTAGTAAATATTTATAAATATTATAAACAATTATAAAACATTGTTCAGCTCATATAAAAGTAAGATTTGAATTTAGTGCAGGAGAAGTTGTTTATGTCAACCAAAGATGGTTTCTCCCGGTGAGTTGTAGATGCGTGCAGTACTCCCGACATTGTTAGAATTACTGAATATGCAGATTTTTGGTTTTTGATTCCTGGATTTTGGAGCCCATACAAAACATATCACCACAAAACTTATCACCACAACACTTATCACCACGAAACTTATCTTTTCAAAACTTATCAGCGACAAAACTTATCATCACAAAACTTATCAAACTACAAAACTTATCAAACTACAAAACTTATCAAAACAAAACTTATCAACTACAAAACTTATCAAAATACAAAACATATCAAACTTAAAACTTAACAATAAAATTCATGAATCTAAATTTTCAAATCATGGAAATGTTCCAACATTTTTTTAAAAATCCGCGAAAATCATCTGTACAACAAATACAAAGAGAACAAGAACAAGACCTGAAGGATATGCGTGGAAGCTTTGATAGTGTACCCTTGAACACATAACTGTTCAATATTGCCAGCTTATTTACAGATGATTAATGATTTAAATATATAAAATTCTAGGTCAAGTTTTAGTTGTACAACGTTTAAAAATGTTTTGAAAAATAAATTTTGTAGTTATTTTAATACGTATTGAGTATGATATGTTTTGGAGGTTGATAAGTTTTGTAGTTTGATAAGTTTTGTGATGATAAGTTTTGTCTTGATAAGTTTTGTTGTTAGATAAGTTTTGTTTTGATAAGTTTTGTGGTGATAAGTTTTGTGGTGATAAGTTTTGTGGTGATAAGTTTTGTGGTGATATGTTTTGTATGGTCTCCTGGATTTTCTGGTATAATTTCATGTACACTACAATTTTACTTAAAAATTTATATGTAGGCAAGTTGTTGTTATATGGCGAAATCTTACTTAGGCAAGTTGTTATATGGCGAGTTGTTACATGGCAAAATTTTATATGGCGAGATGCTACTGAGCCTTTCTTTTTTTCAACGCCATTGAAGCAAAGTGGTTAAACTAGTTTTACTAAGTTCAACTATGTCTTATTATTAAATGTTCGTTAAATCTGACCTTTGATTTGATGAACTTCTGATTCAACTGAACGATCCAATTTTTATCAATCGAAAACTGACATTATTCCTCTGAAAATATAACAAAATGTATCATGTTTAATAAATAAATGAAGAAAAAAATCATGTTTTATGATTAAAGGTGAAAACATAATTTGAAATGCAATTTTCGGATGTAGATCTGCAATCTGCAATCTGCAATCTGCAATCTGCAATCTGCAATCTGCTATCAGAATTCTGCAATCTGCAATCTGCTATCGGAATTCTGCATGGCACATCTTCTAGACACAATCATCGAGTTTTCTTCAGATTTTCTTCAATTTTCGTCTTCAGGTAATTTATGGAGCCTAAAAATAATAAAAATGAAATGTAGTTTTTCTCATAAATGTATAATGCAAAATGTATATGTAATGTAGCTTCGTTCTTGGTTTATTTATTTGTTTGTTTGTACCCAATAAACATCAAAACGGCTGAACCGATCAGACCTAACTTTTTTATGTTTTGCAGATTCTCACATTACCCAAGGTAAGGTTTATTTGAAAACCTACAAGAAACCACTCATTTTTTAGTTTCACAATGTAAAAAAGGCGACTTGAAGGAACATTAAGAATTTTGAATTGTTTTAAAGAAAGGGGCGTGACGCGCCCTAAAACCTAGTTTTGCACTATACTGATAGATTTAAGATGCCAGCCTTAGATGCATAAAGAAATAACGTTAATCAATCATTCAACCAATCAATTTATTTGTTTATATATTGACACCAATATATTCTAGGTCTTTTACTTGTTTACATGTCTCAGTAGAGTAGTTTGCTGGACATTACCAGGAAATGTGGCATCACACTCATCACACTTTATTCTTCTTGGTCTAACTAATGATAATTATAATAAAGAAAATGTTAATATTAGCAATTACAATAGCAATAGCAATATGAAAACTAAGAGCTAGAGCAATAGCAATAGTGAAAACAATGGCAGTGACAATGGCAATGGTCAGGCCATGGCAACGGCGGTGTTAGGTATTTTCCCAAAAACGTTTTTCCAAATGATACTACCCAAGTAAAAATTTCCCTAGTGAGAATTTCCCAAATGTGCAATTTCCCAAGCGGCAACTTCCCAAGTGTTAGAGCTTCTGAGACGCCACAGGCAGCAATGGGGGCCGAGCGCTGCGGAGACTTGGGAAATTGCCCAGTTGCAAAGTTGACACTTGGAAAATACCCTTGGGAAGTTGCCGTTTGTGAAAAAACCTTTGGGAAAATATCTAACATCGCAATGGCAATGGCAGTGGCACAAGCAATGCCAATGCCAATGCCAATGCCAACTAGAAACGTCATTTATTTAAAAATTGTATTAGTCTAAAATTTTTTTCATTATCAATATGCCATTAAAAAGAGAAGATACTTAATGAGGAAAATGTATTTATAATAATCTCCCCCTCATCCACTTCTACTCCCTCGCATTACTAAACACGGGGGGGGGGGGAGATTTAAAGAGCAAAATGAAAATGAGACTGAAACTGGCAAATTTTCCCTCTGTTAGTCTGATATTAAAATATATACAGATTTTGTTTTCCCCAACAAACTTTTTTTTGTGAAATTTAAAAAAGTTCAGAGAAAATAATTGCTCACCTTTTTTTCTGCAACTTTTCCTTTATCAGTTTATCCATTAGTTTTGTCGATATGTTTCCATTCAGTGCATTATACTCTTTTCGTCGCTTAGAGTTTATTTTTATTAGTACAGATACAGGTGTTAGGGGTAGAGGTAGAGGTAGAGGTAGAGGTAGAGGAACAGGTACAGGTACAGGTACAGGTACAGGTACTGGTACAGGTACAAGTACAGGTGGAGGTACAGGTCTTTTATTTGCATGGTTTTTTACAAAAAAAATTTTTTTATCTAGGTAGAAAAATATTAAATTGGAGTGATCAAAATGAATAGAATACCTTACTAAACGTTAAAAAAATCCACTCAATTAATATGTTCAAAGAAATTTTTCAACTTTTCCGCAAATCGAGAGAAAGGGTTTATTTGTTTTCATAATCTATTTATATAAATCTATTGGTAAAGAAAAGAGTTAAAACATTAAACAGCTAAAATTTATTCCTGCAAATCTGGACAAAATCTTTTTTTAACAACATTGTTCATTATAATTTAGCTCAATAGCTGAATGATTTAAAAACAATAAAAAATAATAATAACAATACGTATTGATATTTTTCTTCAATTCAAACCTCCACCTATAATATTATTTCCACCAGAAAAAAATGGGGTTAACATTTTTTAAGAAAACTAAGATTTCAAAACTGTTTTTACTGAATCTTGCTTTTATGAACATCGCAAAATCTCCCAAAAAAGGATGGGAAAACGATACAGATCAAACACGACTAAAAATGAAAATAATCAAGAAAAATGTGAAAAAATTATCCATATAATTAGAAGACATTTTCTATTTTCAATTTTAAAGCTGGTTGTGCCACTGCAAATCAAATCAATCATGAATGTTGGGCAAGCTATAGGCTAGAGTTTCAATTCCTGAATGAGAAATGGTTTTTCAGCCCGGATATGAATTCAATTCTGACTTTTGCAATGTATCTAATTAAAGGTTAAATTCCAATATTTGTTGATGAAATCCCAGCAACACGACCAAGTTTGAGCCATGCAACCATTTTCAGCACCCATTCATTCATGAAGGATCATCATTATGGTAAATATGAATGAAGGGGGAGCCCCCCTATGGTTTGCTTTGTCCCTGCTATGCATTCCTAGGAATATATAGCAGAATGAAAGTTATCGAGAGCTAATGAATGTTATGTAGGATATTCATTATTCAAGAGATTAATTAAGTTTAATTATGAGCTAGAACAATGGGTTGCCATTGATTAAAAATTATAATATTTGTTTCAATTACGATTTTTTTGTGTATAGCTAGAGTTGACATGAGTGGAAAATTAGAACTAGATTTTAATTACTTAAAACGAGCTGTTAACAGCGAAACAATGCTGTCTTGTACTTCCCCTACACGGATGCTTCGCGCTCTGAATCACGCTCTGGAAGGTCCAGGTACATCTTGCTAATAATGCTCTCTTTACCTCCCTCGACAGATGCTCCCGAGACTAGAGGATTTATTTACAGATTTAGTGGCATTCCACTTTTCCAAGAAACATTTTTCATCTGCGTGTAAATAAATGCTTTCTCTTCAATTTAAAAGCATTTGTATCCTTATTTTTAAATGACTTCTGGAGAACTGGAAAATGCTCAAGATTATCAAGTGCCAATGGATCACTTGTTGCCAAAGGATCTAATTCCAAAGGATCAGCTTCCTGTTTGACATACTGGGGGAATGCAGAAGGATTTTCAGAGACATCTTCAATTTCTTCTATGATAAACACAGGATTCAGTATTCCTATATTATCCATAAAGTCAGAGCCATCTTCCTGAATCTCAGTTGATAACGGATCATCACTTACAAGAGTGTCAATATCATCTTTAACTTTAACATCTCCTTCATCATGATTCTCCAGGAGTTCAACTGCTGGTGTGGTGTTGTTTTTACTTCTGGTGACTGGAGGTCTTTTACCCTGATCATTATTCTGATGATGAGATAATGCTTTAACTGCCATAGCCTGTTCTTTTTCCATCTTTGCCTCGTCGAGCATCTTTTTCCTGTCATACAAGAATTCATAAATACAAGCAAACTTGTTATTTCAACAACTTCGAGAGGACGAATCCATTTCACAATACCCTTTGAAACATTGTCAGGGTTGATTGAGATATCCTTCCTTATGATTTCTTCAATTGTGGCTTTTCTGTGAATATAACTTGCTTATTAACACTGCAGAGATAATGAAGAAAATTGTCAGAATTTGACACGTTTTAAAATAGAAAAATAATAATGTCTTCTCCATTTTTGCTGAGATAGAGGTTCAAAAGGTTCCCTTGTAAGCAGTGCTTAAGATCCGGATCCGTTGGATCCGCAAGATTTTGGCATCCTGGATCCGGATCCAAGGGGTAAAAAATCAACCAAAAACTGCCAAAAAAACATTTTTACTCCTAAAACCCAAATCTGAACTTTTGAAAAAAGAGAGATTTTTAAAATTTCCCCATTTCTGAATGGTTCATTGAGTTTTAGGACAAAAATATGCGAAAAAAATCAAACAAAAAATTGATAATTATTTTTTGTTAAAGAAATTCAGTAAGTCTGAAAGAAATGACCTGGATCCGGATCCATTTTTTCCAGTGCGGATCCAGGATCCGGATCCGGATCAGGATCCGCATCAAAATTAAATGGATCCTAAGCACTGCTTGTAAGTTGTACATTTCACACTTTATATGGGATCGCTTGAAAAGTTGAAATTAAATTGATTGTCCCTTTAATATTACAAAATAACGAAAAGACACTACTTTCATCAAATACTCAATTTAAACAAAAACCATGAAAATAGCAGGTTGTAAATCCTTACAATTTTAGAGGAGAAAAAAAGATTTTAAATAAGAAAAAAGAAAATTTACAAAATAAAATAAAAAATAGTGTTTTCTCTGAGAAATGCTAAGCTTTTCTTTCCAAATTTACAAATGAACCCAATTTCGGTGTTTGTTGCAACAAAAAATCAATGAAATTGGAAATCAGAGAGTTAGTTCTTACACTCTCTAAAGAATGCAATTTTTTTTTGCCGGAATCCTCGTTTCAAGGGAAATTTTCTTTCATTTAAATCCCGAAATAAATCTACTTTTTCACAGATTACAGAGTTAAATTTAAGAAAACTATACCTGGCTATATTATCATTGAGCCTGTAATCTTTTAAAAGTCCATTCAGTATTCCTGCTCCAGCCTCAGAGGACACATCTAGCCTACAAATATCATTTATTAAATCATAATGGAATCCTATTTTTTACTTTACTAACAGGTAATCAGCCAGTCGGCTAAGCTGATAGGTACTCGACACTTCAACTAAGCTGATAGGTACTCGACCCATAAATTTAACTGATAGGTACTCAACCCGTCAGCTAAGCTGATAGTTGCTTGACAGGTCAACTAAGCTGATAGGTACTCAACCTGTCAACTAAGCTGATAGGTACTCAACCCGTCAACTAAGCTGATAGGTACTCAACCCGTCTGATAGGTACTCAACATGTCAACTAAGCTGATAGGTACTCAACCTGTCAACTAAGCTGATAGGTACTCAACCCGTCAACTAAGCTGATAGGTACTCAACCCGTCAACTAAGCTGAAAGGATGTTAACCTTTAAACTAAACTAAAAGATACTCGACCTTTTATGTTTTCTTCCCTCCATCATACGCAAGCAAACTTTGCATGCCTTGACACTGTTAAAAAGTACATTCACTTAAAGATATTAAAGCTTTTATTTGAATCATTACAATACTCTAGTGCTTTAATTTAAATAATTAGCACCATAAGAAATAAAAAATTAAAACATTAAGCTATGAAGCAAAGATCAGTAATCTAGTTTATATGTCCTTTTCCTAGGATTAAGCTATGAAGCAAAGATCAGTAATCAAGTTTATATGTCCTTTTCCTAGGATTAAGCTATGAAGCAAAGATCAGTAATCAAGTTTATATGTCCTTTTCCTAGGATTAAGATGAAATTGTGCCGCCAGTGCTCCTGGTATGTTTCTCAGATCTCTGTTAATACTTTGTTTGTGACGTTTGAAGGGATCCGCACAGAATCTTCCCAGTTGAAGTGTCTTTAATCTGTCCATTTTGATCTGTCTGTCAGTGTATGTCTGAGTCAGTTCATCTTGAGTTTGATGTGGTATGACAAACAGGCCTCGATTCTGAGTATATTTGTTTCTAAATTCGCTCAAATTTGCCTCATTGAGAGAGCGTCTGTGAAACCAAGTATTGTACTTTAATTCACAACGTTTTGTTTTATTCAAACACGCCATGCACACCCTCACTATTAAATATTAAATCTAATCTAATAATAACATAAAGAATATTATTTAGCTGAATACTAGCTGAAGTGCCCAGTGTTACTGGTTGAACAATTAAAACTTCAGAAAAAATTCTAAATTCCTCACAAAATTTCAGCCAATTTGGTCCAGCGGTTTGACCAGCTACAGCATGGGAATATATGAGGGAAGAGATTTATTAAATAAATTTTAAATGTAGGCAAATGTTAAATTAATTTGTGTCATGAAATGATTTACTTATTTAATTATCACTGAAGTTAAAAATAGTATTTTTTAATGTAATATTTTTCCTGTGGTCATATCAGATGGTAAGTTAAATACATTTTGAAGAAAATATCTTTTGCAGTTTAAAAATCTAAAATATATAAATAGTTATGTAATGGAGTCTATAAATGAGTCTATATAAGATCGTTAATTTTCAACCACCCTGGGTGAGGGGCAGAAATTGATTGATTTGTTTTTGTAAACAAATGGAAATATAATGTAAAGTTGAATAATAAATTGAATACTGCAGAATATGTGTTACTGCTAAAGAATGTTTATTTTTCTTTAAACCATAATTTATATCATAAGTACTGATTGGAAAAAGCCCTGGTTTTAAAATAACAGCCAAGTGAGTTATATTGGGTTTTATTAGTTTTTTTTGGTTCAATTTTATTTTTGAGGGGGGGGGGGTTCAATTTGAAAGTAGTTGAAACCTACTAAAATTCTTGCTAATTCATAATGATAAGATTATTTAAGCAATAGGTGAACTTTACAGTTATGAAAAATAATAATATTGTTGTGATAATATGCACTAATCTTACATAAATACTCTTCAAATACAATAATATCATATCATTAAGTATCATAATTTTTTAATATTATAGTTGAATTTAACACTACTTTTTTTTCTAGGTTGGATGCATATTTTTGATTGAGGGGTGGGGCAACTCAGATTAATCGCTGTTCTGAAGCAACAAATTTTAAACACTTTTAAGAAAAGAATAAATGTGTCTGTTTTAGTGCCATTAACTCCCTAAAAATCAATACAGTGAACAGCAGTCCTCATGGTTTTAAAGAGTTTGTCATTAAACGAGTGAAAAAAGGCGATAATTAGAAGAAAAAAAACAATAAAGCCTACTTACAGGTGGGGTATTTAAAGTGGGTTTTATTGGGTGGATTTTTTGTTTTTTTTATGCCAACCCTAAGTTAAAAATGTACTTTCTAGCACAATACCAGATGAAAGTTGGAAACATACCAAACCATGTAAAAATCATATTCATTAAATAATCCGATAAAAATAGGTTTTCAATCAATTAATTAGTTTCTCATAAATAAATAAAATAAGGAATGAAGTACTCTATCATTATAATAAAAATTAATCCCTGAATCAATTTACCCTGGTTTACCTATAGTGTTTACTCAAATCATCAATTTACCCTGTTAATAATAATAATAATAATAATAATAATAATAAAAATAATAATAATAATGATGATTGATAATGATGATGATTGATAATGATGATGACGATTGATAATGACGATGATTGATTGCATGGAATGATGGAGGGTCACTTGAAATTACACTTGAAGAGAACCTCTAGAAAAAAATTGCAAAAATCAGATTTATTGAAAAAATCAAGGTCAAAAAATACAAGTAAAATTTCTAAGCATATACATTTTGTAAAAAACATCTTTGAATAGTATTAAGTCTTATAGAGTCAAAGTTAAAAATGGCTTTAAAATTAGCTTGATATCTTAAATTAACAAAAAAGGTTTGAGCAATGAAAGAATCCAAGGTCATGCCGAAAATTAACTTTGTCAGGTCGTGACTAATGAACAAGTGAGATAAAAAATAACCCCCTAAAAAATGGTCTCAAAAAAATGTTTAAATTTTTTGTAAGATAATAAGATTTGTATCTAACTGGAAAAATATTGTAAATTGTTATGAAATTATGGTGTTTTGGATCATTGTAAAAACTGTTGTTTTTACCTAACACACGTTTCTGCAAAGTTCTTATATTCTTTTGCCTCTGAGATCGTAGGTATTTCAAATCCTTCTAACATGCCTGAAAAACGCAGGGGTGTATATTTACTTAAGTAATACTAAAAAAACAGAAAAAAACCAATTTGAAAATTTAACATAATACTCAGTTTTTTCCTGTCCCAGCAACATTCTTATGATTTGAATAAATCATGAAAAAAAACATTCCTATGATTTGAATAATTCATAAAAAATTATTTCTATGATATGAATAAATCTTGAAAAAAACATTCCTATGGTTTGAATAATGCATAAATAATCAATTCTATGAATTTGAATAATTCATAAAAAATCATTTCTATGATATGAATGGTTCATAAAAAAATCATTCCTAGCTATGATTTGAATAATTCATAAAAAAAACATTTCTATGATATGAATAAATCTTCAAAAAAAACATTCCTATGATTTAAATAATTCATAAAAAAATAATTTCTATGATATGAAAATATCAGTGCTTAGGATCCATTTAATTTTGAAGCGGATCCGAATCCGGATCCTGGATCCACACTGGAAAAATATGGATCCGGACCAAAATCTGGATCCGGATCCGTTCTTGAAGATTTACTGAATTTTTTAACAAAAAATAATTTTCAAATATTTTGTTTTATTTTTTTCGCTTATTTTAATCCTAAAACTTAATGAACCATTCAGAAATGAGGGAATTTTTATAATCTCTCTTTTTTCATAAGCTCAGATTTGGGTTTTAAGAGTAAAAAAGTTTTTTTTGCAGTTTTTGGATGATTTTTTACCCCTTGGATCCGGATCCGTGGATCCGCATATTTTTGCGAATCTGGATCCAGGAAACCAAAATCTTGTGGATCCAACGGATCCGGATCCTAAGCACTGGAAAATATCATTAAATTGACTAGAAATTTCGATGGTTGGCAAAAAAGACAACATTTAATAACATTTGTACAAAAATTTTCCTAATACGATAAAACTAAGGATGAATTAGTATAAATATACACAAGGGTGTATATATTCTTGAAAATCAAATCCCCCCCCTCTTTTATCTTTTTCAAATTCAAACATTCATTTCTTTAAATCAGTTTTAAAAAAGGGCCTATATGTTGCAAACACATAGGCTGGCGTTATTTTTACATAAGCAACGGGGCGTATCAATCATATTTCAAGGTTTTTATATTTTCACCACTTCGATGAAATTTTAAATATATATTTTCTATTTCCATAAGTTCTCTTTAAATCTAATCTAAAATTGTTTAGACTAAACGTCAGCTGTTTAAGCAGCCAGAAATGCCTTATTTTATACTTTTACTAAAAGTGGCATCTTCTTCTCCTAATGATGTTTTTTTGGGGTCCGATCTTGATCCCTTCAAGTAATTTGTGTTTGAAATCACAGTGCTTTCTGATGCCTTGTTCAGAAGTGAATAAGTTGGGACAAAAATTACAATACATGATTGGAGTATCAGTATGAATTGTCAAGAAATAGACATTTAAAAAATATATATTTTGAAGGGGGCAATTGAAATTAAGAAGATGTAAGTTTTCAGGACAAAAATTTCTCAAAAAGTTTAGGAACAAGATAATTCATTGTTGAAACTTTTTAAACAACAAAATATTTGTGCCCTTCCCCCCTTAAAATTGTACCCAGTTGCGTCTATACACATTAGCAGTATTGACAGTTGAGTATCTAAATAATTTTTTATAACATACCTCATGCACAAATTCTATTTGATGGTCTAGATTTCATCTCTCTTCAACATGATTTAGACAGGAAACATAACAGATCTTTTGTAATCTATCTGAAGTAAAGAATAAGGCTACTGAGGTCAGTGTGGTGCATTTAATTGTTAAATAAAGCTTTTTGACAGAAATGTTTAAGGTCAATGATTTGCTGAACATAGCTACTTAGTATACAATAATAAAAAAATGTCTTAACAAATCAATGAAATTGAACACTATATAATATAGAAACAATATACTACTTCTTTGTCTTTTGTTGTTGAAATTATTTAAACATTTATTCCGTATAATACTTTTTAAGTGCAGTGTACATTTACAACATGCATACAATCATATTTATTTTGGGGCCTATCTGATTCAAGCTAATGGGAGAGGGGTGTCTTAAACACTAGAATACTTTAACCAATAATTAAACACATAGGTCAATGTTCAAAGAAAAAGAAAAAATGCCATCTTTCTTGCCAACTAAATATACTAGTCCAAACAAATTAACTATACACCACCACAATATGATAACAAATTTCACTTAGATTTAAACTTAAATTTTTAGCACATACTTAAAAACACTGGAAAATACAAGCTGTCAGAGAAAGGATTTGTTAAGAATGAGACTAAAAATCTGAAATATAAATTTATTGAGAGCGAAGGATTCTTCCCCCACCCCTCTCTCACCATATTATTTAAGTAAACCTGAATAAAAACAAAAACACTGCTTTACTTGAAACATAAATTCTAATTTGAATTCTTTTAGTATAATTTACTACATTTGTAAGGCTGCAGTGGCACTGAATCTAAGTGGACTTGCAAAAACAAATTAAGAGTTTAAACTAAAGAAAGCTTAACAAGCTGTAAATTTTCATAAATCATGGATTTAAAATGTTATTTTTAACGGTAAATAAAATTAAAAAATAATCGGGTTTATTTTTTAACACACCGCTTGTTTACTCTTGCTGACGCTGCGAAATGCCGCAAAAGTTTCTTATTTTTATTGGTGCCATATCATCAGAACTAAGGTGTATCGAGACTAAATTTAATTTAATAAATTAATTTTTAAAAAAACATCGTTGAAACAAATATTCCGATGATACTAAATTCAGTCTATGTTTCATAATAAAAATAAATATTCAGTCAATATAAAATTAATTGCTCTAAACCTAATTGATAAAATACAAGAAGACGACATTCCAGAAAATTTCATGTTTTTAAACCAAGTTCATAAATATTACTTTTATAAATACATGTAATAAACTTGATTATACTTAATTGTACAGGGTGTCCCACGAAACATGACAGTAGCAATTGACTGGAAAGTTCTTTTTGCTTAACACTTTTTTCCCCGCGTAACTGATATCCTATCCGAAAAAAGTGGGTCATATGGTAGGTACAGGGTGTCAGCTACGAAACATGACAGTTGGTGAATAATTTTAAATGTTTTCTTCCATAATTAATTACATTTAGTTGTTTAATACCAAAGAGAATTATAAGAATATTTAATGGTAGTCATATTTATAGTAAAATTGATTTTAAAGTAAAACATATTTTATTAAAAGATTTTTTTGAACGAAAACAAACGCAAAAAGTCTTTCTACTACAGTATGGGATTTGAAGACATTCCGAATTATTTACCAACTGTCATGTTTCTTGGGACACCCTGTGTATATCCTTAAATTAAGCACAGGCGCAGGAACAGGAATCTAGTCAGTCTGGGCTTGATATTTGTGCCCCCCCCCTCTGGCCTTTAAATTGCAGTTATTTTATGACTGAATAGTCGAGGGAGGGGGAGCCATTTGCAGCCAGGAGCCCCACGAGGGAGGGCCGGTGCAGATGCGCCATGATCCCCGCAAAAATGACCTCCAAGCCTCCTAGGATTTGCAGAATTACCTCCAGGCCCCGCAAAACTGGTTTCCCAGCCTCCGTGACGTCACCAAGCCTCCACGCCCCGCATTTTGGTCTCTGCTTGTTGTTTTTATTTTTTGCTTAAATTTATTGGCTTAACCAAACAAATATCAAAATATGTCTCTTCATAGTAGACTCCGTCATAGTGTAAAGAACTGTTTAACCCACCATTTTGTACATCAGTGGCGGATATAAGGGGGGTTATTGGGGTTATTTTATTTCACAAAAACTACCTTGTTTTGTAAATTGCCGCTGATATTGTTTGATTCATATATGAGACCCCTCTAAAATAATATAAAATTTTTCTATCTTTATACAAACTGCAATAGTTCTTCACATTTTAAGGAATTAGTAAAATTTAGGAAAACAAAATACAAGCCTTAAATCTCAATTAAAATTCACTTTTTAATACAAAATGTTAATGTATCATTTTGAACTATTTCATCATGTTGAGAAATATTTTATTTTTTAAATATTTAAATATTTAAATGTTTTTTTATTGGAGCCAAAATGCGGGGCGTGGAGACAGAATAGCGGAAGGCTTGGTGACGTCACGGAGGCTGGGAGACCAGTTTTGCGGGGCCAGGAGGTAATTCTGTAAATCCTGAGGCTCGGAGGTCATTTTTGCGGGGATCATGGCGCCTCTGCACCCCCTCCCTCGCCCCACGATCCTGTTCGAACCTAGGTACTTAGCAGAACCAGCTATTACAACACCACGAAACCCTGTTCTAACCCTGCGGAGTCCTGTTGAAACGGGGTTTTTTTAAATTTGCATAGATCAAATAAACACAAAATAAAATTTAAAAATCTTGACGTCGGGAAACAGTTAAGCAGGGGGGAGTGCAGATTGGACATCATTGGGTGGTTTGAGTGGAAACCAGCAGTTCAAGTAGTGGTTGGTATATGAGATTTTAGGAAAATCAGGAAATGAAAAGTCTGACTCTGATCCAATTGAAATTGGGAGAAGTTATACCAGAGCAGAGAAGAGTGGAGCAAGAGCTTTAGGAGGCTTAACTGATGTTAAAACAACCAAATCAGATAAAGACATAGATGACTTCATTTCAAGGTGGATATCCAAAAAATCCAAAATCCAAAAAATAGGTTTATAGCTTCATAGTAGAAAGTGATGGACATGTGTTAGTAGGAAAAGCCAGAAAATTCCTATCGCCAAAAAACGATTGGGGGGTTAAGGATAAATAGGATAAAGACATACTAGTACAAATTTATATATATTTATATACTTTTTGTGAAAGATAATATGAATTTATTTTTTGACTAGTTTTTTTTTGCTTTTTATGTTATTCTTGTGTATTTAGTAATCATTTTTTTACAATTTTAGAAAATTGGCTAAGATTAGATATTTTTATATGTTTGTTTTATTATTTAGAGTTTGATATTAAAAATAAATATACTGGTACATCATACATATTTCTTTTATGAAGGTGTTAAGCCTGAAGGGATAAAGTCGTTTTTTTTAAATGAATTTGTTTTATCAAAGCTAAAAGAGACTAGCATAATTAAATCATTTGTTAGGCGTTGATCCGAGTTTAAGGAAAACGTAATTGTTTTCTATATTTTCAATTGTCGATGTCTGTTCTGAAAAAACTAATTAATTTGTATTGTTTAAATATTAACTTTTTTATATTCCATTTTATTCCGTAAAGTTTCAAGGTTTTGACGAGGATATCTGCTCACCATTTATAAGATAAAGGTTTTTGGGGTATCTTTGTGAATCAGGTCTTTAAATGATCGGGTTCTATTGCAATTACTCAATACTCCGTTCATATAACCTTCGAATTTATGCATGCATTTGTAAAGCCTTGTTTGACTTCCATGACTCTTGTTTACAAAAGTCGGTAAATAAATATTGTGTGTATTGAAAATCGAACCAATACATTATTCCATGGACACTGAACACTGTGCTCCTACCTCCAACATCCTTATATAAGTATTCTTTTTGCAGGCATTAGAATCATTAACACTATCCCCTTTGGACCATTTTTGTAGATGTGAGATGATATTAACCTCCATCTATGATTTTGGCATTTTGTCCAACTTTTCAAGTCCAGCTCACTAAGATATCAAAAAGAAAGACGAAAAATGTTAAAAATATTTTTTTCTATTTTTGACAAAAACGTCACAAATGTTAAAACGTCAATTTTTTTAATGGCTTTTAAGAAAGTAAATTTAGATTCGTAATTTAAATTATAAAAAAAGAAAAGTTATTTTAGATTCTTTTTAATGAAACATGAACCAGTCGTTTTTTAGGAACGTACATAAGCAAACGGCAAGTTGAAACAAACCATAAATTTCTGATCCCTATATCTTTGCATCCCAATGTCGTAGACCTGAGATATTTCAAACTATGAATTCTGTAAGATAAAATTATCAAAGTTTGAAATATCAAAACTACACAACATTAGGTTTCAAAGATATGAGGATAAAATATTTGACAAAGCCTAGCAATTGGAGTAATTCTGTTAACGAACAGCAAAACCGTAGATAATTTTGAAATCATTAAGGGAAGTGTACATGACAAAATAACTTATAATTAAAAAACAAACGAATGTGTTTTAAAATACCGGTGATCACGTTAATTTAAAATAACGGTGATCATGTTAATCTAAAATAACGGTGATCATGTTAATCTAAAATAACGATGATCACGTTAATCTAAAATAACGGTGATCATGTTAATCTAAAATAACGATGATCACGTTAATCTAAAGTAACGGTGATTACGTTAATTGATCGTAAATTTGACAACATTTACAAAAAATAAAGAAAACACTTTTATGAGTTTTGAAGTTTTAAAATGATGTCTTAAAATGTTGTCTCTGAAATAATGGTTGATGGCTTGCCAACGATCATTTTATATTTCATTTCTTGTGATTTTATTTATATTTTTTATATTAATATTTCTATTTTTTATGTTAATATTTATATCAGTTAATATTCTTCAATTTCTTGTTTAAATTAATACGGGTGGTTATTTATAAATATAACAATGTTTAACCACAAACATTGCCATATGTTTTTATGACCATAACGGATTCGTTCTACGGAGTTAATAAATTAATGTTTGAAAATTGATTTTATATAATATTGTGGCAGTGAATTAGTAAGTTGTATTAACGACACAAAACCAATTAATAAAAACATGTTTGCATATGTGAATATTCTTGATCAAGCTTCTATGGATAGTACATACTCAAAACTATTTAGAATACAAATTATATCAATCTTATTGAGGTTTCCTCTGTTCAAAATACTCTTGGAGGGGGGGGGGCATAGACTCCCCCACTTTAACCTTATTGTGGAAACATCCAAATATTTGTTGAGAAATACAGTTTTTAGGCAAAATTGTGCAAAAACAAAAATTGCACGAAATTAAACAAATTTTACATTTTTGAAAATCCTGGACCTAGTTTTTTTTTAAATTTTCTTGAAGGTTTTAAACATTTTGCAAATATGTTTTCACATTCGATTTCGCTGGTCAACGGCTTTTGATAAATGTATGCGCGATTTTTTTGCACATTTTTTGCTGAATGACTAGAATTTGCACTAACTAAATTTTGTCATTGAATATTCTTTCGTGGGGCTCATAGATGTTAGATGGGGCTGCAAGATCATCTATATACTTTAGATGTCTGTTTATTTGTACCCAATAAATATCAAAACGGCAGAACCGATCGGGCCCAAATTTTGTGTGGGACCTCATTTGACCAAAGGGAAGGTTATGATTATGAATATTTAAAATTTTCAAAAATTAACCTCCAACAAATTTTTATTAATTTTTGGAAATACACAATATTTTTTATAAAATCTGCAAGTTATTTTGCTTTTGTTTTACAATAGAAAGAGAAAATGTCCAATTGAAATTCAAGATGGGCACGAAGCGCCCTGAGAGCCTTGTAGTATAAATATTCAGACAGTGTTGTACTTTTGTGACCCATACTCCCCCAAAATATGCTATTTGCAGGAAAGAACTGGAATAAGTTAAATCCTTCAGTTCCATTCTAGAACGAGAACCTTCAGCTAGATTGTTCCGTACACGTTCCTTTTTTACAATCATTTTGTTCTTGTTCCATTCTCGTTCCGTTATTGGTGTTCTTAGCCCAAGAATGGTTCCAACTCCATTCTGTTTGTAGTCAAGAACGTTTCCAACCCCCGTTCTTTGAAAAAGGGGGTGTACAATTTGTAGATTTAAAAAATGATTAAATTTCATAATCAATATTTCAATAATTAAAGAGATATAAAAATAAATTATAAAAAACAAACATTTACTTTCAACTTAACTTTCCCATCCCTCACGGGAAAGGGAGGCAAGGGAAGGGGGGATTCTTGATATAAGTACGTAATCCTAAACAAACAGATTAATGGCCTAATGGCCTAAGGAACGACACCCAGTTCTATATACAGGGTGAGTAAACACATCAGGATTAGCATGGTTTTAAACAGCACTACATTTTTTGAGCAGGGTTCATATTTAGGCCTAGAAAGTAAAAAAGAAAAGTAAACAAAAAGCATTTTTTTCAATGAAGTTCTTTTTCCCAAATAAATGGGAAAATATTCATGCTTTTCTGTTTCAAAATTTTATAAAAAATGTATTGAAAAATTTATTAGCAAAAAATCCGCGAAAAATGATAAGCACAGATCTGCTCTAAGTCTTAGGAAACTAGATTTAAAATATGTATTTAATGTTTACACATTTTTGCAATTATAAAAATTAGATTTTGAATAAAAAATAATTCCGCTTTGCAATAAATTTATGAATAACTTTGGCATATGATATAATAAAAATGTTCTAATTGATCTTTGAAAAAGATTTTGTTTTCTGTGTACCAACAAATATTTTTGTAGTTTGTGCACTTAAAAAAAAAAACCCTGCAAACATTTTAATAAATTGTTTTGCTGAACAACGCTAATTCCGGTATTTTTTTGTATTCACACTGTATATATATTCTATACATATATACATAAGGGCTCATTATTAGTATTTACTCTTCAATATATCAAGGTCCTTGGACAAGGTAAGACTCATATAAATTTGGTAGCAAAAGAATCATATATATTAAGAACCCTTAATTCATGCATGGGGTACTTAAAACCCAAATGTTTAATTAAATTTGCTAGAATTTAAAAGCTCGGTAGATAATCCATTATGAAAATGGGTAATTTTACTTTCAGGACATGCAAAAAGGTATAACTTTTTTTCAAACTTATGCTTTGTTTTGTTTTCTGTTCTGGTTGATTTCCAAAAAAGCACAACCTTGAGTCAGTGGGTCTGATCAAAGATCTAGCTTGGTGTAGACAAATTAAGATATTCAAACAGTATGCCAGAGGCATCAGCTGTAATTAATATACAAGTTTAATTTTAAGTCCAAAGCAAAGGTGTAAGTGTTTTCTTAAGGAAAAGCCAGAAAATTTATATCCTGAGCTGAGCATGTTACTATTTTTTATAAACTTTCCTTCCACATTTGTTAATGAGGGGCTTCAGCTTGATTGTTTAATCATCGTTCATTTGTTCTTTTCTCGATTGTTCCATCCACGTTCTGTTCTCTATGATTGAGAACAGTCTCAGGATAATGTCATTCAATGTGGTTGTTGACATTAGTTGATCATTAACAATAGTAGTTGATTGTTAACATAGACTAAACTTTTTAGAATTATTTGATTTTCTAGTATGTAACCAGATAAATTTGCCAATCTCAATATTTGTGTTTAACATATAAACAAGCAGATGAGGTTCTGTAAATTTCTGGTTTACAGGTTACATAACGTAAACTGGAAAAATTCCTGTCTCCATTATATCCAGAAATTTTCCAGAATTCCACTTTACGAAACAAATTTCTGGATCATTTCATTTCCAAAAAGGAAATTTTGTTCCCGAATAATGGAAACCCTAATTTTGCTTGCCTATTGCTAAATCACAGATCTCAGAAAATCATGCAGACACTTGTTCAAAACTTGCATTGCCAGTTAACTAACAAAGACAACCTCTAATCAAAAAGAGTCTTATAAGAAATTGTTGTGAGAATTAATTATTGCTATTATGATTTATATAAGCTGTTTTTTTTGCTAATTCCTGCCTCTATGTACATGATTTATGGATTATTCCAATATTTTATAAGTTGACTAAGAATCAACATGTTAAGCAAACATTCCACAAACTTTTTCTAGAACTATTTTTCCATCCAGCCTCAGAAGTAAATCAACTGCACGGTTCCAAATAACCTTTATTTAGATGTTCAATAATTGTGTGATTGTGGTCACTACAGCTGTTCTTACTATAATATCTGCAATACAGATCTACTACTCTGTGGTATCCTATCTGAGTTATGTCACCAGCACATCACAGTACTCAGTGCCCTTAAAGTAAGATTATTCAAGATATCTTAAGAATATTTCAAATAATTTTAGCTAAGCTAATTGCTAAAGTGTCCCAATATAGTAAATTCAAATAAATGAATTTTGATTTCACATTTGACAACTAAACAACTGAATGATATGGAAAAATTTAAATGAAAAACAATTTAAGCTTTATTAATTATCCATGTTGTTTAATTTTATCTTAAAAAACAAAAACTACTAAATCTTAACGTAGATAGTTATACCACAAATGCAAAAACATTCAATTTATATATAAACACTACTTTTTATGATCATGACATGGCCATAAATAGGAGTTTCAGAAGGGAATGTAGTAATGTAGGAGGAATTTTTTACTCACTGTGTAAGTAGTAATAACCAATTACAAGTGGTCAAGGAGATGCATGATATGCACCTTGCAACCCCCCCCCCCCTCCTTCTCTCTAGTTACTAGCCCCGAACATGACCGAAACTAACATTATTTATGCAGTATTTATAGAAATTTGAGGCTTTATGTAAATAGTTATATTCTAGGTTGGAAGACTTGTCTGGGATCAGTATTGTTCTTTGTGGAAAATATCAACTTGGTCTTAATAATAGAGAAGCTATGCGTGCCGGATATTCCCAAAATGCTAAAGAAGGATATGTCCAAGGAATTTATTCAGGAATTCCAACAAGGCGCCCACCAAATTCACGTCAATCCAGTCCTGAGGTTGTAACACCTTCTGTTGGTACTGGTATATTGACTCCTGTTCCAGGTGATTCTGTGACTGCTGCACTTTCTGCTGATCCTTTAACTATATCTAACCCTAATTCAGCCAGTGTTCAATCCACTAATCCAGAAATGAATCCTATGATAACCCAATGCCCACTTCAACCTCTTCATCAAAGCAGCTCTTCTGTTCGTATGATTGGGTGGGGTGGTTCTAACAATTTGTCATTTGAAAGTCTCAGCAAAAAGTTGTATAATGACAGTGTTTCATATATAAATCCCTTCATAATGAAAAATAATGGGACGTGGGTTGAATTAAACACAACAAAAGAGTTTTTTGTTCCCCATGGGTTCTGCTACAAAGTTGAGGACATTTCTACAAAAGATCTGACATTATCTGAGGCTCTAATGATCTATTACAAGGCAGAGATGATTCAGCTATTCATAGTTGATTCTTCTCGAAGCACAGACTACTTGTTGTCTGAAGTATCATTTTCTATTGATTCTCCAACTGATGCTCAAACAATACCTAAAATTGATTTATATGAAATCAGTATTCAGAAGAATATCCAGGATGAAAACAATCCAAAGACACAATGCACCAATTATGGGACTAAATCTACAAAATACTCCAGCTTTCAGGAGTGCATGGAGGAAGAACAGAACATTCAGTATTCTAAGCTAATAGGCTGCATGCCACCCTACATGACAAAAAATGAAACTCGTAAATGCCGACAGCCTCTTAATTCAAGCTTAGTACTGCCTTATATCAACTACTACCAAGATAATATAAGACCACCCTTGATATATCACCAGGAGTATTTTATCCCGGCTTGTTACCCACCTTGCAAAACTCTTAAAATTCATGCTAAGAAGCTGATGGAAGAGGAAGCTCCCATCTCTGGTTTCAACCTGTATTTCAGCTCAACAGTACAAGTTACCGAGACTCAGCGAAGCTTTACTGAAATAACCCTCCTTGTGGAAGTGGGATCTGCATTTGGATTTTATCTTGGATGGTCATGTATTTCCATCATCCCTCTGCTTAAAGACTTCTTTGAGTTGTTTACGCCAAAGAAAAAGATGAAGCAAACTGTTAAGCAGGGATAATGATTATATGCTAATATTTTAAATTGACCATCTTTTTTTGTTATGCATTTATTTGTTCAACGCAAAATAAGATATCAAAAATTTCTTAAACATACTAATCTTAATCTTAATCTTAAGCGATGCCTCTACGATGTAGTTCATGACAAAATGACAATCAAACACCATCCCCTGTAGATTAAGACAAGGTGTTCAATTTTAAAACCCTGATATTTTTTTAATTACGATGTTCATAATTAAAATAACTAATTATTTAATTTAACAATAAATGCATGTTTTTTTTAAAATCTGAAGAATTAAAATCTTCTAATTAAGATGTATACAACAATCAAGCTGTGTTACAGTGCAGGAAGCAGTTTGTTGCAGCTATGTTTCAGAACACATCTCTATTGAAATTGTAATATTTAAAAGACTTTTGGTCATGGTGACAATGTTTCAAAATTTCTAGATTTGAAACATCTAGATTTATAAAAAAAGTAATCTCTGCTTCTTTGCATATCCATCAGATGATGAACTCCTTACTCAATCTACCACAAATGTTGATATGAGTTACTTGTTATTACAACAGGAATGTTTGTAGCTTGCAATTATTTCGATTCCAAGGCAAAGCTGGGTTTCCCAGCTATTTTTCAAATTTATGTCAAGACTAGACTCAATGTGAAAGCTTTAGCTTTATATTAATGCAACACATAAAACCAAATATGTATCTATACTTGTATTTTTAAATATAGATATTTTCACCATATTAACCTAAACGCGTTTAGTTATTTCAAGATTTTTTTTCATTTGAGTTGGCTCTCTTCAGTTCAATCTTGAGGGTTGTTTCTGTCATAAAGATTAAAAAAAGATTATTTGTATTAATTTAATATAATACAATGAGAACCGAATAAAGATACATTTACATTGCAAGGAGTGGAATGAAAAATTGTGATAAGATTTTTGGATTCATAAATTGTTTGTTATGTTTTTTTGTATTGATTAAATACTACAAAAAATGTACTAACTAAATTCTGTAGAACAAGTAATCTACATTTAAAATATAAAAGGTTTACACCATCATCAGAGCTGAAAACTTTAGAATGGTGGATATCGTGATTAATGCTTGATCCACTCTTTTTCTTAATCTCCTGATTAAATATTGCTTGTTCTCCTCATGAATTTAATCTCCAGATTAATTAACAGATCGGGATTAAGGATATCACATTCTAAAGTTTTCTGCTCAGGATAGATATAGGGAACTTCGGAAACTATAATTTGTGTCAAAACTCCTTAAAATTTTCTGTAGATCTGACTTGAGTAAAAAATGCACAAAAAGGTAGAAAGTAAAATACAGACTTTCCCTCGAAGAATGAGACTTTGAAGATGACCAGAAACTCTTACAGCATGAAGGTTAAATTAAGTCTTCCGCCTCAAATATAATATTTGAATGGCTTATTCAAAGTTTTAGTGGCAAAATAAACAAGTTTACAATTGCAGAGAATTATCAATGTAAAGAAACAGACAGTAAAAATGTAATAAAGTCGTCTCTGAAGTCTCACTGTTTGAGTGTAACCCTGTACTTACATAACCCCCCCCCCTCACCCTGGAAAAACACCATAATGCTACCATGATTTGGTCTGTGACCTGTGTACTCTTCAGAGCCTCTAATTGGACACGCATCCTGGTTTCAAGATGGAATCCACGGAACCAGCTGTTGCGTATTTTAAGATGGATTCCAGAGAATCAGCTGTTGTGGATTTACAAATCTTACATAATCAATCAATCAATGTACCAGAGAGGGATTTAAGTACTTAAAATTGTCAGTTGGATTCCAGCTGAAGATAAAGCATAGCTGGAATTTTTAGATAAAAAATAAAAAATGCCATATTTTGGAAAATTTAAGTTTGTCTTCTTTCTTCAGATAATATTTGGATTTGTCAGGAAAATATGATATTTTTAACATAGCAATTGAGTTTCTCAACATTCAATAATAAACAAAAAGTGTATAGATCCCTAAACAATAAACATGTTATTTTGTAATATCTAATTTATAAATCATATCACATTTAAGTTTGATCGCCCAAATTGTGATACTGAGCTACAAACATATGTAAGTAAATAAGTCATAAAGGGACTGTAAGCGCAATTTTATGTGACTCTCGATGCAAAGATGGCAATGCTTGATTCACAACGGTTTAATTATGATCCGTGTCTGACAAAGTATGAATTATATATCAATGTTTATTTTCATGAAAACTGATTATTTTGAATTGTGGTTTTTCAATAGAGGTTACTGAAGATGATTAAAATTAAACACCTCTAAACCTAAAGAAACGACAATTTCTTCTAGAACATTGTAGATCATTAACCAACGTTTCCAAGGGTAACGTTGTGAATCGGGCATTGAAATCTACAGCATGGAGGGACACATAAAATTTCACTTACAGTTCCTTACAGTCATAACAGATGTATTTTTTTTGTAGTGATTCTTCGAGTCCTTAGCATTGAACATATCAACAACAAATAAGCAATTTAACTTCTATAACATTGAGAATACAGTTTTAAAATGTTCAACATTATGTTTTTAAACTACTTATTCTTGAATTTTAGTCAAATCTATGTACAGGGTGTCCCACGAAACATGACAGTTGGTGAAAAGTTTAAAATGTCTTCTTCCATAGTTTGTTAAGTTATTTGAACCCCAAGAGAATAATACAAAATATTTCATGCTAGCTATATTACATTAAGTTTCAAAATAAAATATATCTGAGTGTAAGATTTTTAAAACTAAATAAGCTGCAAAAAGTCTATAATATCTATTACAGTATATGGAAGAAGACATTGAAACCTATTCACAAACTGTCATGTCTCGTGGGACACCTTGTAAATTGCTTCTGTCATATGAAAACTAGCGGGACCACGAGACTACAAAGTTGTGTCAGAAATGTAGCAAACATTGAACTGCACTCCTTCTGTCTACAGATAAACAAGCTTAAAGGGACTGTACGCGTAATTTCAAGTGATCTTCCATTTATAGAGTGGCGTGTCCAATTTACAATGATACCTTTTAAACCTTTGTTTGATCAAGGATCTCGTAGATATTCTGATTTATGAAGAAACTGCGTGAGTGTACACTAGCATGGAGTGTACACTGTACAGTGTATACTGTAACCTAGTGTCCCACTGCAATCATTCTTCATCTATACGAATGAGGGTATCTACCTCATCGTTGCCCGGTCACAGATTTAAAAGTTACTGTTGTGAATCGGTCATGCTTCTCTATAAATGGAAGATCACTTGAAATTAGGCTTACAGTCCCTTGAATTGAATTCGTAAATCGTTGCGGTTGCATTTTAAACAAAAACTCTTGTTAAAGAAACACACATGACTTCACGAGTGGTGAGGGGGTGTACTGTGGACTCTTTTACATCATGCTAGGAGTCACTGGTATCGTTCTCAGGTATAAATACAATGATAACCAGAAATGAGAACTTGAACTAGGAAGTAGACTTTTTATCAACATTAAGTGTATTTGATATTGTTACAAAGCAAATAGCTTTACCAGACACTTATTAAGTCACTAATTAAGTGAAATGGGTCTGTTTAAACTTCATAATTGCTGGGCTCCATGGATTATTGGACTATTTAAAGTTATAACTTTAGTTTAAAAGTCGTCTTTCTATTTCAGAGGTTTATGATTATTACTGTGTACATGGCAATAAAATATACAAAATCTGTCAAAAAGAGCGTAAAAACTGTATTTTCTATTATTCATACAGTGGTAGGCGATTTTATCAATACAATGAGGACGATTTTTGATATAAATTTTTATTTAAATAAATCTCTTCAACAGCAATGATACACTTAAACATAGAAGTCAAATGAAGCTTTCAATTAAAAAATATTTGATTACTTGTAAACTTGTAATTCAAAAAAAGGCTTAAAACTGAAATGAAAAGTCGTCTTCATAGTATTGACATTATCACTTACCACTGTATTCAGACCAACAATAAAGTATCAATTATGCAACTACGAACATTTTTCATTTATCTGCATAACTTAAATAACATTTCTTTATATTAAAAATGAAAAAAATAACACAATTTTAAATTAAAATTTTTCCAAATCAGTGAATATTTTTGTATGATTTAATTAAATAATATTTTAACATTGTTTTGTTTAGTATGAAGTGCACAAAATCAACGATCAGCAATTGTGATTTTATCGCATTAATTGTAAGTTTTTACAATAAACCCTCCATGCAAAGATGGCAATGCCCGATTTTCAACGGTACCCTTACAAGTTTTGTCTGATCAAATTATATATCAATGTTTAACATTTTAAAACTTGATTATTTTTAATCGTGGGTTCTCTACAAAAATGATTTGCGCATTTCTACTGTAGTAAGACATATCAGAATTATCTGAATTGAATACTTTAAACCTAGAAAAACGACAATATCTCTAACATTATTTTATCAGATAAAGGTTTTCAAGGATACCGTTGTGGACATTGCATGGAGGGTCACTTGAAATTACGCTTACAGTCCCTTTAACACGTAAAAAAAATAATTGGCTTTTGATATCGAATTACCGAAAGCATTTCAAAATGATGAATTTTGCTCGAAATTATAAATTCTATGTTTGAAATATCATAACACCATATTAAAATCTTTCTTATTTTGTAATTTCAAATTAAACGTTTGTCAGGGGTTCTTTTAGCAGTCTCGTCATTTAAAATTTTTAGTTTTTTTTAAAATTTGAAATACTGAATTTTTACTGCATAGCAATGTATAAATTAATAAAAAAATATCTATTTTTGATAAATTCAAACAGTTTGCTAAAGATTTGGAATTTTTGCAAAAGTATAAATTTTAGCTTTTTTTCTAGAATACTATGACAATAAGTTGCCAGTCAATAGNGTTTATGAAATTTATAAATGTTTTGTCAAATTAGGTTTTAAATAGTATTGGTAGCATTCTTTCTCTCGTACTTATCATTATAAGGTAAAATTAAAACAAATAATAAATAAAAAAATATAATTAATATCAAATTAATTATCAAAAATAATCATTAATAAGAGTATTTTAAATTTGAGAAATTGGCTTATAAATTACTAAATTGTTTGAACACAAAAAATAAATTACCATTTTATCATTTGATTTATCATTATGAAATTTAAACAATTTGATAACTTAATAAAAATCATTTTTCCCAAAAACTTTTTTTCCACAGTTGTGTAAATGTGCATGAAATTCCTTATGAAGAAGAGTATTACTATTTTGGGGTAAGTTAAAATTCATTTTTAAAAATTCAATTTTTATAAGTTTTTATATTTGCCTAGAAACTGAATTTTTCCAATAAAAGTAAACTAATTGGATTTAGAATTTCTAAAACCTATCAAATCAATCAAAAATCGATGAAAATTGGTATTTATTCCTTATTTGCCTCTGAGTCTGAACAATAGAGCTTTAAGTTTCCAATGGGGATTATAAATATAAGAGTAAAGATGTGGGAATAACAATTATCTCATTATCGAATAACATATTATATTTCCTAGGAGTTAGAATTGATGCTTAGTTTCTACTCCATATTGTTAGGTAATATATTGGACGAATTGGATAACGTATTCATGACACATGACAGTCATGGTAAATATTTTAAAACGTCTTCTTTCGCCATTTGTTAAGTTGTTTGATACCAAAGAGAATAATAAAAATATTGTATGGCAGTCATCTTTTAGTAAAATTGATTTTAAAGTAAAATTTATATGAGTAAAATTTGTTTTAGTGAAATAAGCTGCAAAAAGTCTTTGATATCTATTGCAGTATATCATTATATGGAAGAAGTCATTCAAAACTATTCACCAACTGTCATATTTCTTGGGAAAACCTTGTGTTTGATTTATATAAAGTGTTAAAGAAAATTTAAACATTATCATAGCAGCATGGAGGAATTTTTTTTTATCTTAATTTTTAAATTTGAAATTTGTCTTTGCCGCATAAATATTTGAAAATCAATATTTTCCCCTGAAGTTAGCTTTAAGTTTTTGGTGATTAATTCGCTGAATTTGTGAAAATAAATAAATTTTTGGGTAAAATGTATAAAAAAGAATGAAAAAAACTTGACTTGCCAATTCTAATTTTTTCCTCCCAGATCTTCAAAAACCATTCCCCCCGGGGTAGGGGGGGGGGGGGGTAATTCTTAAAAATTACACCCTGGATTGAATGCTTTTAAATTTTCTGCTTGGTCCAGAAGTTCCGAATTTGAGCTAAACAGGATACAACATGGTTTGGAACACCCTGTTGTATAATTGTTCTCTTGATGTAGTTTGTGGATTGCTTGAGTTTCTTTTCTGCGTGATTTGTGCTTCCATTTCCTGCTACACCTTCCCTTGTCTTCAACCTCAAGATACTGTTCCAGGTAAAACAAGTTCTCCTTCTACACCTTCCCTCGTCTTCAACCTCTAGGGACTAGACTAGGGCTAGAACTTTGAAAACCGTTCAATTCAAATACGTTGACGAGATTCTTTAACTGCAGATTGTTTGTTCTTTTCCAAGTCGTCACATTCTAAAAATTTTCGTTTCACTGCTAAAAATTAATGATTGTATTTTTGTATTTGTGTATAAATGCTTGAAATAATATTTTGGTCGTTAACTATAGTTTATTGATTATAAAAAGTATAACATTTAATGATTTTAATGGAACAAAAAACCGTTCGCTCCACGTTTCAGTTTCTTCAAGAAAAGTTCATGCATGATGCATTTGTTAATTTTTGAACGATGTGCTAAGACAAATCAAACTGTTAAACAAATAAAACTGAATTATTTAAGGCCCTGAGGGAATGATGTCAATGCATGAGCACAGAAATGATGAAAATTCGATGGAAAAAATGTGAAATCTATATTTTACCTGTGCAAACATAAAATAGCGTATTTTTATAAATAATTTATCCATTTTTTGGTGAATTTACTTTAAAAGTCTTTTTTTTACATTAGTTTTATTTGATTTTAACTCTTGTATTTCAATAAATGGATTTTTTCAATTCTCTAGAAAATATATTTAAACCAACAAAATTGTTTATTATTAATTAAAATACAGTCTTACAGTCTCATCCTTTGTGGTTAATCAAGGAACTGAATAATAAATGTCAGAAAAACAGAAGACGACATTAGAAATTCTCTCCTAGTCCAGGAAGCATGACAGTTGGGAAATAATTTTTAAATGTCTTCTTCCATAATTTGTTAAGTTCTTTAATACCAAAGAGAATGATAAAAAACATCGCTTGGTAGTATTATGTTAATAAAGTTGATTTCAAAGCAAATTATAATTTAGTAAAATTTTTTTTGCAAAATAAACTGCAAAAAGTCTTTAACATATAATACTTGATTCGGAAGAAGACATTCAAAACTATTCACCAACTGTAATGTTTCGTGGGACACCCTGTATTTGTTTTGAATTCGTTAATTACAAAATGAAAATTTATTTTTTCAATCAATTTCTTTTATATATGTTGCTTTTAATTTGCTACTGCATATTTTGTTGCTGGTTCAAAAAAGGATTTGACACTTTTGATGAAAAAGTCTCAATTCCTTTTAAATAGATAAATTCATTTCTGCACAATAAAGGACAAACAATAAAGGACAATAAAGGACAATAAAGGACAATAAAGGACAATAAAGGACAATAAAGGACAATAAAGGACACAAAACCTCATTTTTTACTCAGAAGACTAATTCCAACATTAATGTCATATATCTTTTATTCCTAAAATTTGTATTTAAATTTACTTTATATTTTCTGCATATAACAAAAGTTTTGAATTTATTAAACAGCATTCCAGTGTTTTAACGAGATAAGTTAAAAGAGAAAACATTGCAAAGTTTAAAAGCAGTGAGAAATATAAAAAGCTTGAAATTAGATGGGCACATTCTGGTTTTTTCAATTTGTTTGTTTTTAGAATGATCGTTCATCTTTCATCTATTTCGTTCATTTTCTAATTGAACAATCGTTTATATAAATCGTTCCATCAAAAGTTAGCTCGAAAATCGTTAAACGTTTTTTTTTCAGTATAAAACGATAGTTCGTAATTTTGTTTGGAAAAATTGTTCGTTCAGTAAATAACGATTGTTTCTTTCAAAAGTTTATTTGTTTGAACGAGTTATAAATCTTTCATTAACATTACCATTTTAAATCGTTATATTTTGTTTTTCGTTTTTAAAATTTGTTCCTTTCGTTCTGGAAAATTTTGTTCGTTTACAAAAATGATGCCCATATCTAATTAGAGGCTGTGTGTTTGGACCAAATTTAATTAAGTATTTAAATTCAAATTTAATTTCCTTCAATTGAATGCTTCCAGACAAACCAACTCACACATATTTATATTCCTATTGCAAGTAGGGGTTGAAGAGAAAATTGTTTCGCGAAAATTTCGCTTTTTTGCAAAACACCTACGGTTTTCGCGAAAATTTTTACGAAAATAATTTTCTTCTCGCAAAATTTTAATTTGTTTTCGCATTTTTCGCTTCATTCATTGTATAAAATTGTTTAAGTTTATAACCTAAACAATTCTAACCTGGAAGCTCATACAATCGCATGACTCCCATTTTATATGTCTGAAATACAAAAATGTTTAATTTTACTTTTTACTACGCCGATCGATATGGAAGTGAGCTTTTTAGGCTCTGCAAGGCCCGAAGAAAACTCGGTGCCGCGCTTTACTCGTCCACCGCTCCTTCGCGGGTCCTCTATTCATTTGCGCTCACTCGTACCAGGCTCGTATCACGCTTATTCTAAAAGTTCAAAGTTTTTAAAGGGACTCTTCCTGACAATTTGGGTGGGTTGTCCAAATTGCTGTACTCGAAGGAATTAGGATGGTTTAGCCAGCCTCAGATCATTTTCGCAAAAAAAAGCTAAATTTCGCATTTTTTCCAATCCCTAAATATTTGAAACCTGATGGTGTAAGCCTTTGATATTTGAAACTTTGAAATATATCTAAGCACTGCGACATTTCTTTCCCAAAATCACAGGAATTAAAAAATCCGAGTTTGTGGCAAAGACTCAATTCCTTTATATGCAAAGGTCTTTCTAAAATAATAAGAAAGTTTTTGAGGTAAACGCAATGAGTTGCGACACTTCAAATTCGATCCATTCTTAAAAAAATAAGCCTGGATCTATGTGCTCTGCTGTCTGTGCGTCCCTAAAAAATTCCCATTGGCATTTCTTAACCTTCCCTCACAACCCTTTGATTAATCCCATTTTTTTTGTTCAACGATGGAAACTTTATTCAGTTTTGTTTAAGGTATTGTATTCTTATCTACATCTGATACTACACATTAATTCAAGAAGAAGAAGAAGAAGGTTTTCAGCTTCTCCTCTTTTATTTTGATTTAATACCTAGAATAGGATATAATGGGATGGAATGGAATAGAATAGAATAGAATAGAATAGAATACACTATAAAGAATAGAATGGAATGGCATGGAATGGAATAAAATACAAAAGAATTATAGAATAGAATAGAATAGAATTGAATACTGTGCAGAAGGATTATTCTAATTTAGCTAAATTTTTCTAATCCCTTAATCTTTGCAACCTAAATCCTGATAACGTAGATCTCTAATATGTTAAACTATATGAATGCTGCTAGATAAAAGATATTCACACTTTCAAATATCAAAGGTTTACACAATTTATAGATTTTTAGATTCTTGTCTATCTAGATTTGAAAATTAGAGTTTAAAGCGAGTAACCATTCATTTTTTTGGAAGATTTAATAATAAAAGTGGATTGTAAACACTTTATAATTTATCCTTGAACATTATTTGTTTGAAAATCTAAAATTTTATATTTTGAACTTTTTGCGCATTTTGTTTTTAACCTTTTACAGCGTAAATATTTAAATCTGTTTTTGTTTTCCATCCTTCCTTATATGTTGAATATATATATTATGAATATCTATTTACAGGGTTACCGACAGAAGATGAGATTTAGAAGCTGACCGTCTTATTTCTTACAATCTTGATTCTCTTGTTTTTTCTATCCCAAGTCTTCGATTTTTTTCATCAAAAGACAATAATTTGGACAGAAGATTAATGTCTAACCTTAGGATTATGAATTAATGATACAAATTAGGTCGTCATTAAAATATTACATTTTGTGTGTAACCCTGTATGCTAAAAGTGCTATGTGCTAAAAGGTCAGGAAGTGCCAAAAGGGCAAGAAGTGCTAAAAGGACAGGAAGTGCTAAAAGGACTGGAAGTGCTAAAAGGGCAGAAAGAGCTAAAAGGGCAGGAAGTGTTCTGAATTTTAACTATTAGATAATTCCTGACTTAAATTCTAAAGATCTGAGATTAAACAAATTAAAGTCTAAACAGTGCTTGAAATTCCTCATTTAGTTTAGAGTAAACCTACTTCATTCAAGGATACTAATTCAAGGATAGGTTTCATTCAAGGATACTAAATCCAGGAAAAGTTTCATTCAAGGAAACTAAGTCAAGGTTAGGTTTATTCAAGGAAACTAAATCAAGGATAGGTTTCATATAGGATACTAAATTAAGAATAGGGTTCGTTCAAGGATACTAAATTAAGGATATGGTTCATTCAAGGATACTAAATCCAGGATAGGTTTCATTCAAGGATACTAAACCAAGGATAGGTTTCATTCAAGGATAGGTTTCATTCAAGGATACTAAATCAAGGAGGTTTCATTCAAGGATACTAAATTAAGGATAGGTTTCATTCAAGGATACTAAATTAAGGATATGGTTTGTTCAAGGATACTAAATTAAGGATAGGTTTATTAAGTTCTTTGATAGTTTATGACAAGGTTGTATAGTAAGGTTAGATACCCTGAATGCGCTCCAATTTACTAGAAATGTCGTCTTCATAACAATGGACACTCAAAATCAACATATGGATTAACCTATAGATATAACTGATTAGGATTAAGTGACTGAGAGAGGGGGAAGGATATTTTCTGCTTTTTACAGCTAACAAGCGGAGAAATTCCTTCCCCCCTCTCTTGTTTTCCGTTTTTCTGGTTACCAATCTGCATTTCAGGTCAACAGCATGCATTTCTAATCACTAACTTAGTGATTAGAAAACACTAATATGCATTTCTGGTCATCAACATGTATTTATGGTCTTTAACATGCATTTATGGTCACAAACGTACACTTCTGGTCCCAAACATGCATTTCTGGTCCCCAACATGCATTTCTGGTCCCCGACATGCATTTCTGGTCACCAACATGCATTTCTGGTCCCCAATATGCATTTCTGGTCCCCAACATGCATTTCTGGTCCCTAATATGCATTTCTGGTCCCCAACATGTATTTCTGGTCAACAACATGCATTTCTGGTCCCCAACATGTATTTCTGGTCAACAACATGTATTTCTGGTCAACAACATGCATTTCTGGTAGCCAACATGCATTTATCTTTCGGTGGGAAAGGTTTAAAAGTGAAATTGTGCAGAAAACTGAACTATAATATGAATCCTAGAGTTTAGTGTAATTAACTTAGATGTAAAATGCAAGATGGAGGAGAGTAAAGCAATTTCAAGGGAAATTAAACTTGGTCTTCTTGAGTTTAATTCTTGTAATTTCAGGTGATATTTGGGTCCATTGTTGAGTTTTATAAATAGCGTTTAATTTTAATATTAATTAATGTGAATTTTGATCTAAAAAAAATAAAACAAAAACATTTATTAAAATTAGGAAGAGATTCTAGTAACTCAAGGTATCTAATGAAGACGAATTTCGGTTTCAATTTTAATTTGTATCAAGTTTTTAAGCAGCATGGATACACACAATGTACAATTAAAGAGAGACTGTCAATTAAAAAAGCTTCTCTTTGCTCACTTATAAATTTGTAAATAGAAAGCATCTTTTTAACAATTAAAACTATATAAAAAGTCGTCTTCAAGCTTTTGAAAAGGATATCAGTGATTAAAGGGTAAAATGAAATTATGTCTGCTGTCCCTTTACTTCTTAAAATGAATAGCAAACATTTAAATATAAGTTTTACACGTTTGCTTTGGTTTTATCCTCAGG